GGAGCCTTTTCCCATTCAAATCCACATTCCAGGAACCTTTTCCCGTTTAAATCCACATTGCAGGAGCCTTTTTCCCCTTCAAATCCACGTTCCAGGAGCCCTTTTCCCATCCAAGTCCACATTCCAGGAGCCTTTTTCCTTTTTGGAAGGAAAATGAGATTTTCCTGGCTGGTTCCTGGGCTCGTTTCCCTGCTCATTTCTGCTGGCCATGGGCTGCTTGTTGAATATTCCCATTCCTCACCTTTTTTTGGACCGGAACATCAGCTCTGGGAGGACTGGGAGGACTGGGATGCTGGGGTTGACAGGACTGGGGACAGGAGTGTGGCACTGCCAGGAATCCTTTCCAGCAGCTTCCCAAATACTTTTTTTTTTTTAGGGATAGACGGATTTGCTGTCACCAGGGGATGTTTTTCCCCCCATCCTGGTGTCCCCAGAGGAATTACTGCCTACAAGATTCACTCTTCTCTCAGTTCTTAGCGTGGATACTGATTAATCATGCTCTAATTCATGGAAAACCGGGTTTTTTTCCTCAAACCATCGCCCAGTTGCTGCAAAGTTTTGCAGCTGTGGGTTTGTCTGCACGCTAAAGTGATTTTCCCACTTGCCTTTCACCTCCTTCCCCAGAGCATAATGAAGTTGAAGATTCCCGGAGATGCCTGATTGGAAAGCTTTGAGGGGAACAAAGTATCTTTATTTTTCCCGAATAAATTCCCGTGGCAAAGAATCCCGGAGAGAGTGGGGCTCACGCACTCCATCAGCTGCATCTTGTTAGTAAACAAATGGCATTTCCCCATCAATTTACTAATGCTAATTGCCACTTTGAGGCTACAGGCAGGTTTTGAAACAAAATTATTCCTGGCCCGTTCATCCCAGCAGCTGTCCCTGAATGACACGGAATATTGATGTGGCTTTTATTGGGAAAGGAGTTGGCTTTGGTGGAGAAGAGAAATCATCAAACCACAGCCCTGCTGAAGAATTCCAGTGACCAGGAAGGAAAAGCTTGGCAGAGGGAAGGAAGGAGGTGTTTTCTGTGACCCTGCAGAGCTGGGTTGTGCTGAGGATGATGAAGGATCTGGGCAGAGGTTTTTCCCTCCCTCACCTCCTGTTCTGATCTTTGTTGGGATCCAGCTGCTTTTCCCTCTGCTCCTCTGGGATTGGGCAGCTCTGATCCCTCTGGCTCTGGACACTGCCTGGGAATAGCTCCTTTATTCCCAGGATGTGGCAAAGCCAGAAAAAAATGGGAAGGGTTTTTGTGGCAGTGGATTTGTCCGAAATCCCGAGAGCCCTGGGGCGTGTCCCAGCCCTCGGTGAGCGGCAGGACCGGCCCCATCCCTGCGAAATGCCAAAAAAATCTCTTTGGGATGGTCCCTCCCAGGGGTCTGCGCTGGGAAATGGGAACTCTGGGCAGGAGGGAGTGCGGCACAACGGGCTGATCTTCCAGGGGGTCACAGGCGGATCTGGGCCACAACTGAAGGGGTTCTGAGAGCAGAGCAGGGCTAGGAAATGAAATTAATTTGAGGGCAAATCAGGGCTAGAAAATGAAGTGGATTTGAGAGCAGATCGAGGCTAAAAAAGTGAGGTGGATTTGAGAGCAGACTTGGGCTAAAAAGTGGGGTGGATTTGGGGGCAGATCTGGGCTAGAAAGCTCTGGAAGCCTTACAGGAACCCGGTGTTGCTCTGGGTGTGGCTGCCCAGGTGTGCGTGTGCCCAGATGTGTGTGTAAGGACACAGGGACACACACAGACACACAGACACACACTCACACTCCGCTGTATTTCATCTGCTGCTCCATGAGAACAAACACGTGCCAGGCGTTCCTCACTCCCTCCCCGAGGCTGCTCAGATTCCCCCGGGATGAGCCTCGGGAGAGGATCCCTCTGGAAAGGTGATGGGTGATGCTGGCCAGGCTTTCCTTTGGGGCTCCTCGTGTTTCAGGATCCTCGGGATAATCCTCGGGATAATCCTCGGGATGCTGAGGGCTGGGAGAAGGGAGGAGTTGGGATATCCCTTCCCCAAAGGTGTGCGGGGGCTTTTAGTTCCTCTCCCTTGGGAAAGGGTCAGGCGTGGCTGTTGCTGTGGGAGCACACGGGGCTTAAACAACAAAAAAAAAATTAAAAAAAAACAACGTAGCAACAAAACTGAACTAAACAAATCAGTGTTTTGTTCCAGACTGGTGCCAGGAGCAGAGGCCCAGTGAGCACTGCCCCAGAGCTGCCCTGGGGGAGGGCAGGTGGGCAGTGCTGGGTCTAGAAATGACAGGTCCAGCCCTTCATCCTCATCTGGGAGCCCAGCATGGCTCCCTTCCTTCTCTGTGTATCCTCCAGAGCCAGAATCCCAAATCCAGCTCTTCATCCTCATCTGCGTGCCCAGCACATCCTCCTCCCTTTTCCCTGTCTCCATCATACCCAGAATCTCAAATCCAGCCCTTCATCCTCATCTGGGAGCCCAGCATAGCTCCCTTCCTTTTCCCTGTCTGCTCCAAAGCCAGAATCCCAAATCCAGCTCTTCATCCTCATCTGGGAGCCCAGCACATCCCCATCCCTTTTCCCTCCCTCCTCCAGAGCCAGAACCCCAAATCCTCCAGCAAGCTCTGCTGGAAGCAGGGAAAGGCTTCCACAGGTGGGATTTTTGGGGCTGTTTCATCTCTCGAGGAGCGGTGGCACCTCCGAAATCAGCCAGAGCTACCCTGGTGCACCATTTCTGCCGCTCAGGAGCCTCGCAACAGGTCCCACGCTGGCTTTGAGCTTCGTGCCGTGGCAGAAACGAGGGCACATTTGTGTCTGAATTGCTGCCAGCGAGGAGGCAGCCTCCGAGTCGCTGTTCCCTCTCAGCCGTCAGCACCCTTCCTCCGCTCGGCAAGGAGCTGATAATGGCTTGTTTGTGCCTTCCCCACGCCGGGAAAAGGGCTGGGAGCAGGCTGGGATGGGAGCAGGCGTGTGGCAGGAGCTGTCAGGCTTCCCCTCCTGGCAGACAGCAATAATTAGTGGCTGGAGGCAGCGCCTCTGTCTCGGTGCAGAATGAGTTGTTTTTCTCCTCGCCCCGAAGGGAAATCTCTGCGTGGGACTCTGATGCAGCTCCCTGCAGCGGCTGCGAGCTGGGAGATCCCTTCCTCACCTGGAGTTTTCCCTTTTCCCTCCCCTCTGGCTCAAGGGTTGATGCAGGATTGAGCTGAAAGCGGGGGGCACCGGCCGCTCTCTGCTCGGGGATTGCTGCCGGTGGGAGATGTGTGCCATGATTTATTTATCCATCCATGTTTTTCCCTACATCCCAGAGGGTTTGTGGAATGCCTTGGGCTGGATACCTGGAACAGAGGCTGGACAGAGTTAAAGTGGGTATTTATTAAAGGCCTGTGACAGATTCACCTTGGGCAGTGCAGGAGCCTCGCTCCACCCAAGATGGACACAGCCACGAGATTTTCAAGCAGATTTAAGCTTGGTCTATTTGCATATCAGGGGGTTAATTGTCCAATTAACAGCTTCAGGTGATGAAGTCACAATCCCCCAGTTGGATTCACTTTTGGTTTACAGTTTTCAGGCCTGAGGCTGCGATGATGATCTTGGTTCTCAGGCCTGGAAGGATTGTTTTGTCTGTGATGAGACCAACCCTCTGTGTGGAGCTCGGAGTCATACACTAACCCAGCACAGGGATTAGTGAAAAATAAAAATACTGAAATAAAACACTGAAAAATAAAAAGCTCAAACTTAAGGCATCAGCTGGATGGGAGGGGAGTGCAGGGCAGGGTTTTGCAGAGCTCCATCTCCGCTCCCTCCAGGAGCTTCGCTTCCCGCTGCTCTGTTGTGTGGGATGGCTGGATCTGAAAATAGCCACCTTCCCTCCTGGCACCGGGATGTGTCTTTCTTCCCAGTCTGCCGTGTGTTAAATCTGGTTTTTCGTGGTAACGATGGGGAAGGGGTGGGATGAACACCACGGCCTGCACGGAACTGGCTGGCAGCACGGAGCCCAGCGGGGATGTGACAGCACTTTGGGCAGCGCTGTGTGTCCTGCTGCACGCAGGGAATGGGGAATCCCAGGGCTGGGTCCCTTTCCTGAGCCTGGCCCCTGCTCCCAGCCAGCAGGGAAGTTTTTCCAGCAGCATTCCGAGTTGGCCTGCCGGAGGTTTTGGTGCTGGGAACAGCCCCCAGAGCTGTCTCGGAGCCAAACCCCGCTGTTGCCAGCGCTGTCTGCCTCCCTCTACAGCACCACCTGCTTGGCACAGCAGTCATGGGAACAACTGGAATGGAATTGTTTCATAAATCCAGGCTGGTAACAGGAGTTCAGTGAGATGGGGCTGCGAGGAGTCCCTGGGAGGGGATGGCACTGGGGCTGTCCTCGGAAAAAGCAGCTCAGAAACCTCCTGACCTGCTCTTGATTCTGGCACAGCCCTGTCAGTGACTGCAGTGACTGGATCAGGGCAGCCAGACACAGTCCAGAGGCGGTTCTTTTTCATCATTATTATGATATTATTATTATTTTTCACGCTGCCACCGCTGGGTGCTGCAGCGCGAGCCCGTCTGTACAATAGTAGCTGAACATTCATTCTTCTGCTTCCCCGGGCTCCTGTGGCTGCCACACATGACTAAGGAGCAAAAACAATCTAGTGAGTGACTCATCCCTCCAGGGAAGGTGGGATGGGAGCAGCAGGAGACAGCCAGCATGGAAACGGCATCCGCGGGGAGCTGGGCTGGGCTGCACCAAAGGCTTTGGTCATCCCGGTTTGTAGCAGGAATCTTAAAGAAATCGGAGCATTTTCTCAGCGAGGTGGTTAAGTTAAAACATAAAATCTGCTGGTTCTTGGCCCCTGGGTTCGTGTGGCTTCTCAGCTGGTCGGTGGAAGGGGAGGTGTTGTCTCAGGAGGATTCACCACGTGGAGGAACGAGGTGCTGCTGTGGCCTGGCGCCGCAGCGTTCCCCAGCTGCTCCTGTGTCGTGTCACGGTGTCCCCAACCCATCCCCTGGGGTGCTGGGCATCCCTGCAGGTCCCCAGGGCAGTGGGAGCTGGGTTTGAGTCTCCCTTTCCTTTCTCTTGCAGATCAATGAGCTCAGCAATGTTCCCGTCCCCGTCATGTTAATGCCCGATGACTTTAAAGCCTACAGTAAGATTAAGGTGGACAATCATCTATTCAACAAGTAAGTGGGAGCTTCCCAACCTGTCCGTGGTCAGAGCTCTGGGCTGTGAGGCAGACTGGCCTGAGGGAGGCTTCTGGGCTGTTCCCAGCTGTGTTTCCAGGAGGATCCGGCGTGGCTGGGCACGAGCCCCTGCCCTGTGTGACAGCGTGTGGGGACAGCGGTGACAGCGTGTGGGGACAGCGGTGACAGCGTGTGGGGACAGCTGTATGCAGGGATAGCTGTGTGACAGTGACAGCATGTGCAGTGACAGCGTGTGGGGACAGCTGTGTGACAGTGTGTGCAGGGACAGCTGTGTGACAGTGACAGCTGTGTGACAGTGTTTGCAGGGACAGCTGTGTGACAGTGTGTGCAGGGACAGCTGTGTGACAGTGTGTGTGGGGACAGCTGTGTGACAGCGTGTGCAGGGACAGCTGTGTGACAGTGTGTGCAGGGACAGCTGTGTGACAGCGTGTGCAGGGACAGCTGTGCGACAGTGACAGCTGTGTGACAGTGTGTGCAGGGACAGCTGTGCGACAGTGACAGCTGTGTGACAGCGTGTGGGGACAGCTGTGTGACAGTGTGTGCGGGGACAGCTGTGTGACAGCGTGGGGGGACAGCTGTGTGACAGCGTGTGCAGGGACAGCTGTGTGACAGTGTGTGCGGGGACAGCTGTGTGACAGTGTGTGCAGGGACAGCTGTGTGACAGCGTGTGCAGGGACAGCTGTGTGACAGTGTGTGCAGGGACAGCTGTGTGACAGCGTGTGCAGGGACAGCTGTGCGACAGTGACAGCTGTGTGACAGCGTGTGGGGACAGCTGTGTGACAGCGTGGGGGGACAGCTGTGTGACAGTGACAGTGACAGCTGTGTGACAGCGTGTGCGGGGACAGTGTGTGACAGTGACAGCGTGTGCAGGGACAGCTGTGACACTGTGACAAAGCCACCGAGGAGGGGCACAGGCAGCCGTGGTCCCCTCAGGTGTGGGATTGTTCTCCTCGCTCACCATCCCAGCCCTGCGGGCGCGGATCCTGCGGAATTTCCTGCGAGAGATGGATCCCGTGGGCAGCCACAGGAGAGAGCTGCCCTAACGAGGGGTGGCAGGGAGCCAGCGGGGACCTGGATCGCACTGCTGATCAATACTGATCAATGCTGGTCAATGCTGGTCAGTGCTGGTCAATACTGATCAACGCTGGTCAATGCTGGTCAATGCTGGTCAATGTGGGTCAATACTGATCAATGCTGGTCACTGCTGATCAATACTGATCAATTGGTCAATGCCGATCACTGCTGATTGCTGCTGATCACTGCTGATCAGTACCGATCACTGCTGATCAATACTGATCAATACCAGTCAATGCCGATCACTGCTGATTGCTGCTGATCACTGCTGATCAATGCAAATCAATACCGATCACTGCTGATCAGTACCGATCACTGCTGATCAATACTGATCACTGCTGATCAATACCGATCAGTACCAATCAGTGCTGATCACTGATCAATACCGATCACTGCTGATCAATACCGATCAGTACCAATCACTGCTGATCAATACCGATCAATGCCGATCAGTGCTGATGGACACACGTGTCCCCTGCCCTAGGGAGAACCTGCCGAGCCGTTTCAAGTTCAAGGAGTACTGTCCGCTGGTGTTCCGGAACCTGCGGGAGCGCTTTGGGATCGACGACCAGGACTACCAGGTACCGACCGGCCCTTCCGTCCCGAGCCGTGCCCGGGGCAGTGGGGCACGGACAGCGGGGCACAGACAGCGGGGCACGGACAGCAGGGCACGGCCAGCGGGGCACGGCCAGCGGGGCACGGCCAGCGCTGCCGGCTGCGCCCACGGCTGCCACTGGCCCACGGCTTCCACAGGCCCA